ACACACACACACACACACACACACACACTGGAGTCTCCTCTCACTCTGACATCATCTCCCTATGACACCCCTCTGTTTCCCAGACTGATCACAGCTCTGGAGCTCTAACATCAGAGCTTAACAGTGTCTCTCTGTTTGTTTCCCTGTCTTTCAGGTCTGTGGATTTGGCATTGTTCTAGGTGTTGCTGTCTTATACTTCTTTTATTTCATGGATGTGTGCCGTAGAGAACCAGAACAGAAATATGAGGTCAGGTACAAGAAGGCACTGAGGAAGAAGAGAGAGGAGAGTGTCAGGAAGTTTGCAGAAGAGAGCTCCTGGCATGAGGTTAGATGGGTTGAGAACAGACTGTATGATGCTCACAGTACACCCAACCATTTGTCTCCAGAAGAGATAATCAGGATATTTGAGAGTCATGCTGGCCTCCCCCTCAAAATCACATTGCTTGAACCCTGTAATGGATTCGTGACCCTGACCCTAATTTCCTCAGGTCATCCTAATCCTTTAATTTCTCTTAAACTAGACCTTCAAATTAATAACCATGCACCTGAACAAGGAAACAGAGAGAATGAACAGATTAATACAGAACTACAGCCCCTGACCCTGACTCTGCCCTTAGAGCAGGTTCTCGCTTCAGAGCTCTGCTCTCCTTCTGACACTGACCCCACTGTAACTCTCACCCTCAGCAATAGGTCCAGATTGACTCTGCCCTTCAAACAATACAACACTGCTCTGACCTACAGATTCACTATAACCTCTACCCCTAAGTTTAAGTTAAAACTTACTCCTACAGACAACCCTGTTTCTTGTCCTACATATTCAAGAACAATCTCTTTACCCTTTATCACAGACCTGGAACTGACCACAAACCAAAATGGTTCTCACACTCTAAACCTGAATCCTAACCAGAATAGACAGACAGATGGTCAGATAGTCAGAAACGTGATCCAGGCATTCAGAGAACTTTTATCTCGCTTAGAAGATCTGATACCTCCTCCTGAGGCTCAGGCTGGGGGGGAGAGGTCACCTGCGGTCAGTCAGGCTGGGGGACAGGAGTC